TGCTCCAAGGCTGCCAGAGACATAAGAGAGACAATGAGTGCCCACTTGTGCTGGGGCTCCTGGTGAGTCCATGTTGCAACCCCTGCTGGCAGGCAGAAGGAATGACAAGGGCCCCACTGCTGAGCCCTTCACTGCCCGGCCCACCCGGATGTCACGTAGCTGCCAGATCCTACCCTGTCGAACAGAGATCACTCCAAGGCGGAGCATATCCTCTCTTATCAGGATAATCCTTATGTTATGGAGTTGCTCTGAATTTTGAAGGAGGTTATTTCAAGCAAAAGTCATGACTTTAGTAATTTCTTGGGAGAAAGATGCTGGCTTGTCCAAATAAGTGTTCTGGAACTCAATTTTATATTCCAGGTATGAATGAAATCTCAGTGTACAGAGCAGGTAGATTCTGGTATGCATTATCTATCTAATCTATCTATCTATCTATCTATCTATCTATCTACTTATTATCCATCCATCCATCCGTCCGTCCATCCATCCATCTCTATCTACCTATTTCATCTCTCTCTTATCTATCTATCTATCTCTATCCATCCGCCCACCTACCTACCCATCTCATCTCTCTATCTCTATCTACCTATTTTATCCTTCTCTCTTATCTCTCTATCCTATCTATCTACCAATCATCTACTTACCTATCCCCTCTCTTTCTCTCTATCTATCAATCCATCTGTCTATATCTACCTAACTCATCTCTCTCCCTCTCTAATCTATCCTATCTATCATCTGTCTCACCTCTCTCTTCTCTCTCTCTAATCTATCTGTATATCTGCCTATCCATCATCTATCTATTTATTTACCTAACAGCAACATTTACTGATGCCCTATTATATCCACTTCATACCCACCTAGGTCAATCTTACCCCTTTAATTTAATGTACCACCCACAAAAATCTATCATTTCCACAAGATAACAGATGTGGAAACTGAGGTCTAGCCCAAGGTCATGCAATTGGTGAATGTACCCAATAAGCAAAGCTGAATTTGTACCAATGCTGTGACATGCTATACACAATACATGAAACACACACCCTCACACTTACTCTGACCACTGTCTGTGATAGAAACTGTTTTATTTTCCTTTTATGATAAAGGAACTGAGACTTAGAACTGCCCATGGTCAAAAGCCAGAGAGTGTGAGCAGGACACAGATCTAGGCTGGTCTGACTTCAGAATCTTCTCCACCTTACTTAGGGTGGCCCGGGAGGGAGACCAGGCCACTGGGGTTCAGTTGATGTAGTAACTCTCTTTGTGACCCGGGTGAGTGAGTAAGATGACCTGGTAACTGGCAAGTTACTTAACTTCTCTATGCCTTGGTTTCCTATAAGTGGGGTATGATAACAGAATCCACATTCACAAGGCTATTGTGAAGATTAAGTCAGGCAGACCCTGTAGCATCAGCTTAGGGACCTGCACTTGCCAGGCACTGTATAATATAGTGTCTGACAAGTGCTAGATGGTTAAAAAATGTTTGTGAAATAAATGACTCAAAATTAAAGTGGAAGTTGGAATAGAATTACAAGTGTCTTAAATTAGAAAAGGGGACAAATAAAACTTTAGTTCAGATGGAGCAAGTGACTGGGACATTCAAAATAAGGAAGGTGCAAGTGACCTTAACCTCTTCCTTACCAGGGCCCATGGAAGCAGCCAGTGGAAGCCAGAAGCCAGAAGCCAGGTTGGGACTGAAACTCTGGCCTGTTGGATTCCAGGCCCTGGGGCTGAACCCCCAGGCTGACTATGGTCCCGAGAGAGGTGGAGTCACTGCTGCCCCAACACCCCTGCTGTGTCCCTGAGCGTGTCCCCTGCTCCAGGGCTGAGTGCCTCTGGGATCATCCTGGCCTGGGCAGAGGTGAGGCCAGGAGCCCATCTTCAGAGGCAAATGCTTGCTGTGTCATGTGACAGGAGCTCTGGGGTCTTTTCCAGGTGGCTCTGTTCAGTAGTCCAGTGGGTAGTCCTGAGGGACCCTTGATCCAACCTCACATTTTACAGCAGGGCATGGCTGGCCCAGGGCTACACGTGCTTGAGCACGCCATAGCTTGCACACCCCATTAGCTCCCGTCCTCCCTCAGGGAGTTGGGAGACATCACCTTCCATCTTGACCAACCACCTGTCCTTCGGCAAGTTATTTAATATCTCTAGGCCTTGGTTTCCCCACCTGAAAAGTGTGGATACAGGCCCTGACCTGCTGATAAGGTGACAGATGGCCAGGGATGGGTTTCCTATAATCTGATAGGAACCCAAACAAGATAGTAGGTGTTCCACATATATTCTTAGCTAAGGGACCCTTGGTGACTGGGATTCTTGGGGGCCTGGTGTTTCCTGTGGACACTCCTATGCACCTGCCTCAGTTAGTTCATCTGTAAAATGGGTGATGGCGCAGGGCATGGGCCTCAATGGTCCTAGCCCTTTCAGGTCTGTTTTCATGATCAGGCAGCTGGTGTCAAGTCAGAAGCAGGGCACTGTTTTCCCAGAGACCCTGAAGACCCCAGAAATAATGACTTGACTGGACATTCCAGTAAAGACCTGAAAGAGCTAATCATGAAAGCAGGGCTTAGACTAAAACTCAGATTCAGCAGCCAAAGGTAGCTCCCTTACATTTTCTCCTGTGGGGTTAGTTAGGAGTCACCTATATCAAGAGGAGTGGGAAGGAAAGAGTCGTGCACTGGGGCATCCACGGGGTCGTGGGCCACTTCCTATTACTCCCAGTCTTCAGTTTCCTCATCTGTGAAATGAAAATGCAATCTCCATTGTCTCTCTAAAAGTTCTTTGGGGACAACCACACGGGGGTTCTGTAGGCTCTTCCCACCCTTTCCATATTCTCTGTAGCCAAGATTTCTACACTTTACAACAAAACACTGTGAGTGTTGGTGCTGTGGGCTTGGAGCCTGTGCTCAGCCAGAGGACGAGCCCCCCACCAGCCTTGTGTGCACAGTCAGTCATTCTCCTCTTCCTTGTCTCCAGATGCCATGACCATTCACCCCCCAGGAGCTGCTTGCTGTGTCCGGTCCTTCTTCTGGTGGGCACAGGGCCACTGCAGAGCCCATGCTGCCTCTCTGAGGGGGCTACAGAGGACTTCTCATGGGGGCTGAGCCTCCAGTGGAGAGAAATAAATCCCCTTGCCTATCCTGTGAGACAGAAGCTCTCAGACCTTGGCTGTGTGGCTGCCTCTGGTGGGGACGGGTGGACACCATTGGACACTGAGACGTTACCTGATAAGCCTCGCCAAGTGCAGGGACTGCCATGTGTGTGTATCAGAATCACACAACTGGGTGGGCTGGGAGGTGCAAGGCCTATTAAAAAGCGGATCTCCTGGTTCCCAACACAGAGCTCCGTCTGCGGGACGGACAGATCTGGGGGTGGCCCTGGGTTCTGCAATTGGCACAGTCTCCTAAGGCTATGCCGACACAGGGGTTCCCTGATACTACTTCTTGACACCACTTTGTGTAGTGACTTACTCCCTGGCCCAAGAGGGGTCATCCAAGTGTCTAGTGTGTCAAGAGGAATGGAGGTGATGGAGGGCTTGGGAGTTATCCCCTGCTCTGCCCCAATGTTTTAAGGAGAGGTCCACACATAGCCCTTCCCCATACCACCCTGCCCCCAACAGGCTTCCGGGGAGAGTCCCAGGAGGAGGGGACTCACACCACATTGGGCAGAAGTCAACTGAATTTGGGATTGAACACTGACCTGAGGTCCCCGGGCCCGTGCGTGTCCAAAAGAGGTGTCACATAGCCCCTTCAAGCTCTCCGTTCCCAGCTCCAGTGACTAGCTGAGTGGCTGCCGCTTCACTAAGTTCCCTGTTTTAAAAACAGGAAGTGGGCTATGTAACCTGCACCTAAACGCCCCAGCCCATTGGCTGGTGAAATATGGTATATTGAACCAATTGACAGTCCGCCAGCTGTACCCATGTCTCCTTCTGCCCCTCCCACTCCCCATGGGACAGGGAAGGGCAAGGCGGGCAGGGTCAGCCCTGAGGTGTCTGATAGGCCTCACCTCCCACAGCCTTGCAGTCGTCTGCCGACCTTCAGAGACTCCAGCCAGCATCCGTCGCCAGCATCTACATGTTAGTTTCCAGGACCCTTTAACCTTTGTTATTTTACTCTATGGATGGGGAAACTGAGGCTTGGCTACACAGCTGGGTGGGTCACAAAAGGGCAGTGGGGTGGCATCACAGTTCCTTCCATCTGGTGTCTTTTCTCTGGACATATCTAACACCGCCGACAGAAAGTCCCAGAAAGTCCACCGCATGTCCCAGCCACGATCCTCTTCCTTCCTGTAAGAGGTAGTCACAGTTCTGATTCTGATAGGGGACACTTCTTGGATTTTCCTTATAAATTTACCACCTGAATATACCTTCTACTCATCATCACATGGAACGTACTCTAAGATCGACCACATCCTCGGCCATAAATAAGAAGAAGAATTTAAAAATTAAAAATAAATAAATAAATAAACTT